CACTGAAATGAATTTTGGGGTAATAAAATGATCCTCACTAGAAGCCATATGTATGATTACAGAAGAATGAAATGTCATCCAGCCCCCCTGTATTGTCAATTATTTTTGCCCCAATGGGATATTTTTTAAAAAATCAATACTTTTCACTGACTAGGACAAAAAATATACTATTTCTTTGTTTTGTAAAATAAAACACTGAACATTTAAATCTGCTTCCCTGGTTCAACCTTCACTGGAAAAATGTGACTCCAACATATTACATTGGCCTACTTCTTTGTCCCAGACAATGACTGGGCTTTTTAGGAGGGTTTTGTTGCTGCTGCTTTGTCCCAGGTTCTTTTTGGGTACAGGAAAAAAATGTAAATGGCAGGTAGCTAAAATTTGAGGACATTGTTTACCATAATGCATTTGACAATGTCCTGGCAGGACTGCATTATAGACTTTCTGGGCTGTCTATAAAACCTGGAATGAAGACTGCATTGCGTTTACTCATTAGATAAAAAATACTGTCAGTGCAGTTTAAGCATAAGGGTTTAATACTAGGTTCTGTTAATATTAAATAAAACAAGTACTACTAGATACTATTTATATAAGATGATCAATATGAAGTATAAAATGCCAACTCTTAAATATAAAACTAAGAATTATTTTTGCATCCCAAATATCCTCACTATTCTTTGCAATGCTTTTGACAAAGGCCAACAAAGAAGGAAGGACTCCCTGGAGAAGAGCCTAATGCTGGGAACAATAGATGGCAAAAGAAGAAGGGGACGGCAGAGGATGAGGTGGCTGGATGGAGTCACTGAAGCAGTCGGTGTGAACTTGAGTGGACTCCGGGGGATGGTGGAAGACAGGAGGGCCTGGAGGAATGTTGTCCATGGGGTCGCGAAGGGTCGGACGTGACTTCGGAACTAGCAACAACAACAACAAATCTCTATCCTAAGACAATCTGTCCATTGTTGAAATTGTTCCAGTTTGATAGCATTTTACAACAATAACATTACAAAATAATAATTTTGCAATAATGTTAATAATTTAGGTCACCTTTATAAGATAATGAATTCTGGTGCATGCTCTGAAATATGAAAACAGAAGCTACACCTATAAAAGCAACTGACCTACATTCTGTAAATGGTGGTTTCTGGGTCAGAATGTCAGTTATGTACTGTAAAAAGAGAGATAAGGGGGGGGGGGAAGTGGAGGTATTCAAATATATCAGCTTTGAAGTTCTACCTCCTATCTTGTGCCCGTAAGTCTCAAATATTAATAGCTTACACAGAGACAGAAAAGAAAATGTTAGTTCACATCAATCAGAAGCATACTGACCTGAAAACTGCACTAGTTAACGGAGCTCTGTCTTTTGGCCCCATATATAGACACCTACATAGTTTTGGAGCCTGGTGTACAAAAATGTACCCTCAACATAAGGAGTACTAACAAGACCGCTGCTTCAGGCAAGCGGTCTACAGATAACACTGCATTAGCAACTTGTTCCCCATACACTAACGCTGAGATTATGTCACCATGCTCATGTGATACGGAATTAGAAACACAAGCATCTGACGTCTAAAGTGGATTTCACAACTACAGCTATTGATAGAGTTATTTTTGCGTCCAGAAATACAGGCTGACAGGCTTACCTCCTGAAATCCAAAGTAAAAAAGATTTCTCAGAGTCCTTCCCTGTCTCTCCTCCCAGCCTGCTGACAATGTGATGGAGCTACTAGCATTGCCTTCAGAGGACTGATGGTTTGTCTTGACATACTGTGTCTAAATACACTAAGACTAATATATGTTTAGACAGTTTAATGACATGGAACTTTTTTTGATGGGGGTAGTTATTTTTAGCTCATTATTGTCACACATACTTAGAGGCAAATGCCAATATATTATACTGGTGCATGAACCCCTGGCTGCTTAATTTTGCTAGGTTTGGCTAAATAAATCACTTCCTTGAAAATAGCTAGAAAAGCTACTGTTCTCATATTGCATTTATACACTATATTTTTCATTAATAAATATTGTTAGCAATCTTCCACCAATACAGAACTGTTCTCTCAGAATCATATATGTTTCCTTGTAGTCCCAGAATGTATACATTCATATACAAGCACCCCCTTTCAGTTGTAACATACTGTGTCGTTTTGGGAGCACCTGTAAGCAAAGTGTTTCTTTACTGTTGTTTGAATTTTCAGTTTATTTTATACTAGCAACAGCATTTCACAGCCTTTTTGCAAGAAGCAACTGTATGAAAGTACAAAGAAATAGGTATCAGACGTATACCAAATATGGCAACATGCACTAAAGTTGACTGAAATATAAAAGAAAGCATAATTATACATACAAATATTTAGGAGTATATATGTGGACTGAATACCAGTTAACATTGGTCAACTATTCTTTGTGGAGCTATTTGTCATATGGATGATCTGTATGGTTTTGCCTCTATATCAGTTGATTGATTATGTTGGTTTATCAGGATAATACATAGACATATCTCTCTGTGCTTTTTTTCTTGAACATGTCTTTTTTTCATTTTTCATTTATGTTTACTATTGCATTAATAGCTAATCCTCTCCTTGCAAGATACCCAAGGCAGCTTACATGGTCATCCCACTCTCCATTTTGTCCTCACAATAACCTTGTGAGGTAGGTTAGTCCAAGCCCATTATCATCCAGTGGCTGACAGCCAGAAGGTCCACCCAGAAACTTCATGTCAGACTTGTGAAGAACTCCTGAGTTCCAATCCATCACTCTGACCACCACACCACACTGGCTTTCCTCTTCAGTATTCTCCATTTCTTCTTTTATGTCACAAAATATGATTGTTGAACATTTCTCTAGTCACTTGTGCTCTCTGTCCCCAGGATGTATGGAGCCTGTATTGCTAAGCTTAAACAGCAAAGTCCTCAAAGACTGTTTTGCCTTCCTCTTATCAGTAAAAAGATTATGAAAGAGATTCTGATATCTCTTCAGAACATCAAACTGCATTCTGGTACCATTCTACCCTACTTCCTTTTATTCAACCACAAACGTAGATGCATACTTATTTCCTAAGATCACAGCATAATGTACTTAAATGCAGAATTCTCAATTCCCTTTGTAATCAGCCCCAAATAGCTTTTCAGTTCATTTCAGGAAAAAACAACAAAACAACACTGGCTGAAATAGAGAGGCTTCCTTCTGTGAGTGTGAAGAGCTTCTGATCATGCAAAGTCCCCACCCCCACTACCACCTATTAGTGCCTCAGTTACAGAAGCCACTGCACCACATCTCCCGGAGGGTTCCCAAACCCTAGGAGTATCTCTTGGAGGGGTATTTACGAAAGATTGCAATAGAAGCAACTGATGGAAAAGCCCCTTCATGTAGGTGGAATTTAGATCAGTCTAACACATTTTCTTCTAACAAAAGAAAAAAACTAAATCTCTGTCTCTCTCTCTCTCTGATCAAAAATTTATCTCAGATGTCAATTATTCCAAGGGAATTTAATGCTTAGGTTTCCCCTCATAGGGTTAACCCTAACCCTAAGCCGATATTAAAATAAGATTGTTATTAAGGTGCTGTCCAATGAAGTTGCCTGTAACCCTCCCAACTCAGCAGATACAGGGATCCTATGCAGAGTGGGAGGAGGACAGAGGTGAATGTTTTCTCCATGCTTCTCCCATCCTGCAGAGCAGTGAGCCAATGCTGATGTGTAAGGGTGGCACTTCAGGGAGGGACAGAAAGAGACTCAGGTGCCACCAGGATGTATCATATCTTGGCAGTGCTGGCTTCCACCCCTCCACGTCCCTCAGAATGCCCACTAAATCCCTTTCTGCACTAGTTGCAGAGTTTTCTAGATTCCCTTTAGGGGTCATAGGACCACTCTGTAAGACACTTAACTGTAAACTTAAGAGTAGGGACTGTTTTATTTTTTATTGGCTTTGAAGCCCCTTTACAAGCCTGTTCAACTGAAGCCTTCTGGCCAGTTAGAGAAGTAAATGACTGATTGAAGATGGTATGGGGGAAGTCTCGTCACCCCTACCCTGGATGTACGTATGCCTCTGAACTTGGAGCCTTATGTGCATCCACTGGCCAGAGGGAGTCACAGTGGCAGCAGTCTCTGCCACTGCTGTGCCTTGCCCTGGCCACTTTATTCAGATGGCTGTTTTTGGCCAAGAAGGGGGAGAGGAGGAAGCTGGGGCACTGCTGGGAATCAACATAGGAAGACAGCCCCAGCCTCCTGTGCTCTCCACCCCAGCATGCCCCCCTCTCCAAGGCACACTTCCGCTCTTGGAGAAGCAGCCAGTGAGGTTCATTTTGTGTTGACTGCAAGAGGTAGGGGCGAGGGGCAGGGCAGGGCAGGTGCTCAGTTCTTGGATTCTGAGCACTGAGGCCAGAGGACCCTGGCCCCAGGATGCTGGGCAGTGTTGGGATGCCAGAGGATTGCACTCCATGTGACTCAAATGACTACTATTAAAGTTGATGCCTAAGTACCATGGTGATTCAAAATGTTGCTCGCATCTCATGCAATCTCCATGCAGTAAGACATGAAATACTTCATTTCAGTACTTGAATGAAACTATGATCATTACAGTAACATTTACTTCTTTGTTTTCCTTGTAAATTTTAATATCAAACCAAAATACTTGGTCTAACTTCAAAGAACTGTAAATGTTTTTGTTTTCATGTTCCCCTGTTTTACTTCAGTCTCTATCTAATTTTAGACTAATCTTTTCAGGGCATGGACCTTTAAGAACTTTATGGCTTCAATTTTGAGTTTTTAAGATATTTGCAGTTCAGTCTTGACCGTTTGTTCAAAGGGTTCGGTAGCTCTTAATCTCAGGCAAGGGAGTATAGGGCCATGGCCATCATAATTGTATTTTTGAATGCTCATTCTATTTCTTTAGTGCATAGATTATTTCTATAGAAAAGCAACTAAGGAATGACATAAGATAAAAAAGCAAATGAATAGGCCTCTGCTTGCTTATGCACCATGCAATAGAATGGAAGAGAACTTACCTAATTTTGCACTTCTGAACCAAAACATGAACCAAAACTCAGTTAACCTTCATAATTTGTACTTCTCCGAATTTTGCAATGCAGTTCTTCAGGAAAAAAGAAAGCATAAAAAGGCATATATTAGGGAAAACTGCACTCCAGAATATATATAAGTAAAATTCTGTTCAAAAGTGCATTATACTAGGAAAATTCCTTGCAAGTATGGGTACAACAGGCAAAAGTGTGTACAACAAATATATATATTAGGAGAAATGCACCCAAAACTGTATAACTGTTCATGAGAATATACAGGATGCACTGGATTTTAGCTTAGGAAAAATTAGAACAGGAGACTACTGTTCAAACGTCACTGCAAACAGGAGAGGGTGTGGCTAAGCTCTTCTCCCTTTGCTCATACCAGACTAAACACTGATTGTCTCTTCTCTTGCCCCTCCCCCATGTTCCAGGTGGGCTGCCCAGGTTTCCAGTCATGTAAACCCTGCTTGTTCATCTAATTAGATTTTTGCTATTCACTGCCACAAGGTTTTCTGGTACTCCTAAAAAACAGAAAGAAAGAGGTGGCTTTTGATTAACACTGAGCAGAGCCTCTCGGCTACTAAGTAGAATAGGTTTTCCTTGAGATGGACCTGGAGAAGAATGTTGTATATTTGACTGCACTATTGTGTGAACTTCCACAGGAGCCTAAATATGAGATTGATGTGCTTCAGGAAATTGTGCATTCTCTTGAAATGCTGTATTCTATGAAACTTTGATGTTTTATTATGCAGTACATCCTCTATTTGCCCTTCTCTCATCTTTGCCTTTTCTTTTCTTTGCCACAAGATGGAGCTACGTGCAAATGAGTCTGCAGGGAACTAATGGCAGCAAAAATAGCTAACAGGATTTCAGTAATATGAATGAGCTCTCATAAATTGTCTGATACAATTATTTATTAGCAGTTTGTGATTGACAAACCACACTTTTCATTTTTTAAAATTATTACTATCAACATCCCCTATTTCTTGCATTTTTCTTGTGCCAAGTCATGGCATTTTATCATTTAACATGTAGAGATTTCCTCTGTATGGATAATTGCTCTCCAGCCATGATTTGGACCTGAGGCAGCATGTCATTATCAGATATAGTCATGTACTGCAGTTTACCAAAATGAGCAACAAATTGCTATCATCAGTATTCTGTGTGGTTAGTACAGTGAGAATAGTTGTTTTAACTGGAAAAAATAATCCTAAATTGGAATGTGAAGCCATGGTAGCCATTTTTATTGTGGGCATATGCGTAATAGCCTGACTGCACAGTGTCAAATCCAAGCGTATGGATTTGCATACAGCATGAGACATGACAAACATCATGGGACTGTGTGCCAGGAATCATAGAACAGCTGTTGTTTTGTGATTGGCTGAGGCACTGGCATCATCTCTTGAAATGTGAAATGGCTCTGCAGATAGTTCAAGGGTTCTTCTGTAGTGAAGGACAAAGAACCCTAAGACCTTAAGTATCAAACCAGTGCTCCCTGAAGGGGCCACTCCCTCCACAGAAATCTGTCTAATAATATAGGCCAAAGAGCATCAAACCTACGATGCATTTAAAATGCATAGAGAATGACACAGCAGAGCTTAAAATTCATGGATAAAGATGGACTTTGACTTTTGGAATGCAATATGCATTTATTCTGCTATTCTAAAAACTTGGACCAAGAGTCAGTTATGGACTATGGAGTTCCATTGATTTTAATAGAAAAGTCAGCAGGTATCTGATTCTTTCCCACTGAAGTCAACAAGACTCTGAAGTGCTTTTTGACTGGATCACACCCTGTTGTTTGTTTCTTTGAAGTAAAAAATGCTATAAGCAGTCAAAACCTTAATTGGCATACATTTACCAACACATATATTGATGCTATGTTTGATACTGCATGGACAAAGACATTTGTTCTCCCTAAAGGTGGCAACATTCGAGGAGGTTCACATGACCGCTACCATCCCAAGATGAAAGACTGCATAAAGGGGTATTCGAGATAGCGCCTTCCTAGCATGCACGCATGCACCACAGCAATGTGACCCAGAAATACACTGATGCGCACTCTCTCACACTATAGGAACTTGGGGATGGGGAGGAAAGTCATATCACTGTGACCACCAACGGGGTGTCGCCATAACACAGATCAGCTGTAGCAGATGGCACAGCTTTAAAGGATTTTTCTATCTGATCAAAAGAGGGTTTTCTTGGACTTTTCCCCCAGCTGCTATAGCACTGTTATGGATTGCAGTATTAAAGTACAGTTGGTGTAAATGCAATATTTTGCATTTCTCTATCTGCATCCCATGTCAGAAAAAATCAGATTATTCTTTCCGCTGAAGCACCTTTTTGCAGCAACCAGCTTTTAAATGAGTTCAATCAGTTCCAGTATGGTGAAATGACCTCCTTTGCTTTCAGTCTTTGTTTTTGTGCCTAGCTGTCATTTATTTGTTCATTTCTGACTTGTTTTAAATACTGGGAGCAAAGCAGTGAGACTCACACATTGCTACACTCTCCCCATTAGCACAACCCGTAGTTCTAAAATAAACTCGGCGCCTGCAATAATGTGCACACAACCCCAATCCAATTTTAAAGGAAGTGTTATTTCAAAATAGTGCTATGGCAGAGAGACTGACTTTTTAATTAAATGTCACATGCATATCCTGTCTTTTGTCCAAGATTATCAAGGCAGCATACATGATTATTGTCCTCTCCATGTTATCTTCACAACAGTCCTGTGAGATAGGTTAGGCTGAGAATCCGTGACTGGTCTTAAGTCACACAGTAAGCTTTATAGCCAAGTGGGGACTAGAATCCACATCTCTACTACAACAAACCGTGGAGCAGCATATAGGTGAGCAGGCAGGACCTGTAATGCCATAGGGATGCTACTCACATCCACATTCCCAGAAGTGCCCTGCTATGTCAGGCTGAAGTTCATCTACTGTCACTTCTTGCTTCCCACAGTGACGAACCAGATGCCTCCAGCAGGCCATATCGCACCCTGCTGCTGTTCTCCAGCAGCTAGCATTCAGGGGAACATCATATAGACTGCCATTGTAGGTATATGCTAACCCAATAGTCCTGAAATGTCCTAAAGCTGGGTATCTGAAACTCCGCATGTGAAAAAGCAAACTCTCCATTTGTATAAATATATAACAGTAAAGCCTCAGATGACTCATTATGCAAGAGCTTGCATTTCAACAGTTTCCCAGCTTGATGCTCTCCAAACATGCTAGACTATAATTCTTATCATCCCCACTCATGAAGACCAAGGCATTCACTGGTTTGGGATGACTGACTCTGATCCACACCTCTGGAGGGTGCCAGCTTGGAGAAGACTGGGTTGCACAGACCCAGCATTTCAAAGGCTCTGGTGACAGATTTCCAGTGCCGTGAAGGCATAAACTGCCACCCTCAAACTGGTGCCAAGACTGAATAGCTGTAGCACTACATAGACGGGGCACCTTCTGCCTCTGATCCACTTATACGTAATCTCATAAAATCTTTGCGATTCCCTGGAACTACTGAAAATGCCACAACCCTGCCTACAGAGTTTGTCTACATGAGGCATTTATTGTGCACTTAATGTTCCCTAATCATGGTTGTTTATGGGTTCTTTACATAATGTTGTGGCCTACAGTTTTGTTTCTGTTTTTAAAGAACATTTTCACAGCATATTTCTTAGAGCAGAGACAATGCTGTATTATTTCTAGAGGCTAAAGAACATACTCTTCCCATTTTTTATATGTGCACTATTCCACTATGCCACAATACCATCTAGAAGATATGTAACAGAAAAACACTAAAGGAGACGCTGCATGTTGTTTTTGGATCTGTATGAGGAAACTAAAAGTTAATACAGCAGATTTACATGTAGAAAAGTGCTAAGAGTCAGAGGCTGGAAAGATTCTACTTTTTCTCTAGCATTTATGTCCATCTTATCTTCCATTATTTGTAGGCATCTGAAAAATCCATTGTATTCAGAAGCAAGGACTTAAGGAATCCAGGGACAGTTTAAGGCAGCTTACATCCATATACGCCCGCCCGCCCCTTGAGATCTGCGGGAGAGGCCCTTCTCCTGGAACCCTCCATGAAAGAAATTAGGAGGGTAGGTACTTGGAGGAGGGCTTTCTCTGCGGTGGTGCCCAATCTATGGAATGTGCTCCCCAGAGAGGTCCGCCTGGTGCCGTCGTTATTTGTTTTTCGGCGCCAGGCGAAGACCTTTTTATTTAAACGTCATTTTAATTGTTAATATTATTTGCTTATTTTATCTGGCCAGGGCGACTTATTTTATATTGTTAATTTGTTTTATATTTTGAATGTATTATATTTTAATTTTATGTTGTGAGCCGCCCCGAGGCGGCATAGAAATGTTTTAAATAAATAATTCGTGAGAGGGCAAATTGCTCAGCTATCTTTGTTCTTTGTGGAGAATCCCTATAGGCTCATGCTCAGAACTGCTGAAGCCTTTCATAAAGATCTTATGAATAGACAATTCTGTGTGATGGCTGCTCCCTTCCATTCATAAAGGGATAGGCCAAGGAAAGAGAAGAATCAGACACTGGCCAATAGAAGTTATCCAATCCAGCAGCATCCAAATAATTACAATAATGTCTCCACTTACTAATATTTGAGGGAAAAGGCTTGGCTCTAGGCAGTCTCAGCTGAAAACATACAAAAGTCTCCTGCATTCTGACCCAACTGAATTTTGCAGCACATGATTACTTTTGCTTTGGAAGCGTTTGGAAGGACGCAAACTTAGATGGCAAACCTTGCTGGCTGTAGAACATTTTTATGTGGGTCACAGAATTAGATGGAGATAGATGTATCTGTCCCTGTTGCTTTCTTCCACATTTGATTTTTTTAAATGTCAAGTTCTTTCCATCACAGATATGAAGACAGTTATTCTTATATTAAGATGTATTATAGTATTATTAATAAATGCATACATAATTTGCTACTAAACTCAAGCTGATACAAAATTCTTACCCATCTGCATTGGTCAAATTACAGCAGTTGTTAGCATGGAGAGGACCATGTTGTACCTACTTGCCATATATCTGTTAAAGAT